CCCTAGTAACATGACTAAATAGCAATTCTTATCTTTGTATTCAAATCAGGGCCCCGTCTTACAAAGAGTTGATATCAATCGTAACTTATTTGCGATTGACATCAATCGTAACTATGTACATAAGAGATAGGAGACTGCAAACTTGCGATTGATTGGAGGACTTACGATTGATTTGGATCGATCGTAACTCTTTGTAAGACGGGGCCCTGGTTTTGCATAAAGTTGTCCACATTGAAACGGAAACAAATATAGTAAAATAAATTAAAATATAATTATGTACTACATAGTGTTTTATTTCATGGATGTGTGTATTCTACGTCACAATAGTCGTACAACATACAAAGTATGTCCAGAATGAATAGAGTCGAGATGTTGAAAGTATGAAATAGAGTCGAGATGGTGAAAGTATGAAATAGAGTCGAGATGTTGAAAGTATGGAAATAGAGTCGAGATGGTGAAAGTATGGAAATAGAGTCGAGATTAATGAAAGTATGGTATAAAGTCGAGATGGTGAACGTGTGAAATAGAGTCGAAATGGTGAAAGTGTGAAATAGAGTCGAGATGTTGAAAGTATGGAAATAGAGTCGAGATTGAAATAGAGTCGAGATGGTGAAAGTATGAAATAGAGTTACGGAGTTAATAATAGAGTGTTAAACCTCAACAAGAGAGTGGGTGCTCTAGAAAACTTGGTGATTTAGCATAGAGATGAATGATCCGTCAAATGCGTTGTGGATATAACGATACGGCGTTACGGCGTTATATACGGCGTTACGGCATGTTACGACGTTAAACTACGGATTTACGGCGTGTATGTTTGCTGTACAATTGTGTTAACTTTTTGTTTACCGATGAAAAAATACAATAATGTGACTTGGGTTCTATTTCTCTAGTTAAAAATGTTTTGTATATTTTATCTCTGTTCCCTAGTAACATGACTAAATTGCAATTCTTATCTTTGTATTCAAATCAGGGCCCCGTCTTACAAAGAGTTGATATCAATCGTAACTTATTTGCGATTGACATCAATCGTAACTATGTACATAAGAGATAGGAGACTGCAAACTTGCGATTGATTGGAGGACTTACGATTGATTTGGATCGATCGTAACTCTTTGTAAGACGGGGCCCTGGTTTTGCATAAAGTTGTCCACATTGAAACGGAAACAAATATAGTAAAATAAATTAAAATATAATTATGTACTACATAGTGTTTTATTTCATGGATGTGTGTATTCTACGTCACAATAGTCGTACAACATACAAAGTATGTCCAGAATGAATAGAGTCGAGATGTTGAAAGTATGAAATAGAGTCGAGATGGTGAAAGTATGAAATAGAGTCGAGATGTTGAAAGTATGGAAATAGAGTCGAGATGGTGAAAGTATGGAAATAGAGTCGAGATTAATGAAAGTATGGTATAAAGTCGAGATGGTGAACGTGTGAAATAGAGTCGAAATGGTGAAAGTGTGAAATAGAGTCGAGATGTTGAAAGTATGGAAATAGAGTCGAGATTGAAATAGAGTCGAGATGGTGAAAGTATGAAATAGAGTTACGGAGTTAATAATAGAGTGTTAAACCTCAACAAGAGAGTGGGTGCTCTAGAAAACTTGGTGATTTAGCATAGAGATGAATGATCCGTCAAATGCGTTGTGGATATAACGATACGGCGTTACGGCGTTATATACGGCGTTAAGGCATGTTACGACGTTAAACTACGGATTTACGGCGTGTATGTTTGCTGTACAATTGTGTTAACTTTTTGTTTACCGATGAAAAAATACAATAATGTGACTTGGGTTCTATTTCTCTAGTTAAAAATGTTTTGTATATTTTATCTCTGTTCTCTAGTAACATGACTAAATTGCAATTGTTATCTGTGTATTCAAATCTATTTTGATGATGTTTTGAGAGAGTCCAAACATAACCCTGAACTATAAGTATCAAAGTGTTGTGTGAAAGTCCAAAGAACTCGACGGTACGAACAGGGCGGAATAAAACGAGCTTCATTTGTCGAAAGGCTGTTGAGAGGTTCATAAACTCAATACACGATCAATAAGAAACAACGGTTCTATTGTTGAAAAGAGGTAATTCAAATACAAAAGAAACTAGACCTATACAAAGTCAATATGTTTTACATTGAATGGAACGTCTCAACTCAGTAAGCATGGCTGAGATTTGTAAAAGTTGTTTTTACAAAGAAGATTCGGGTGAATAGCAGTGCTTATTCAAAAAAATATTCGCATCAATTTGAATCACAATCATTATTTGTCGCTTAATCCCTTTTAATGACCTTGTTTTCTTTCTCGTTTGCAAGGGGAGAAGAAGGGTAAATACACGTTCCTTTATTTAGTTGATCGAACAATAGATATTGATCCAACCTATACAACGGCGTTGTAAACGTTCCTTAGAAAGTAAAACACAAATTATCCCGGTAGAAAGAAAGTCAAAAAGTCAAAATTACATAGACACTCGTGTTAAAAGTCAGTTCCACAAATAAAATACCTATCCACTATTCAAAACGTCAATAATTCCTAAAGATCTCTAAGTAAAATTCAAAATGTCAAAATTCACATAGAAACACGTGTTGTAATTCACTTTTTGCTTGAAAAAATTAAGTCCAACAGAGAAAATCACTAAGTAAAATTCATAAAGTCACAATCCCATTGACACGCGTGTTATAAGTCAGTTTTTATCGAAAAAATTTACAAGTCCAAAATGACAAATCCCTAATTAAATTCAAAAAGTCAGGACCTCGTCAAAACCCCATAGACACGCGTGTTATAAGTCCGTTTTTACTCGAAAATAGACTATGTCAAAGTTAATGTACACGAGTCAATTAGAAATAGTATAAGTACGAAAAAATTCGTGTACAAAACCTATGGCCGTCCCGGTACTCACTGCTATAACTACTCACGTATGCATCCATACAGGTTCACACACAAAATATAAAGAGTCAATGACATTAAATAGCCAAAACAAAATAAAAAAATACAATAAAGGGAACAAAACAAACGAGGAGTAAGGCTGACGTGAATTGTCATTAAACAAGATAGATCATTATAAAACAAACACATCTACATTATGAAATATTTCCCCTCGCCTTCTACGCTTATGATGACGACTCGGACAGTCAGATGTCAGACATTCATATTTATTTATATGGGCCTGATGAGGTGGTTTGCTTGTAAACTATCTCGTCTTGTCACGAAAGTAAATTTTCATAATGTTTGCGACAAATATTCGGGGCCATGTGTCGCCCCCCCAGAGCTACGCCACAGCCAACATTTCCCTTTCTTATCATTTTGTTTGCTATGTGATTTTTATGACTAGCAACCCTCTTCTCGTATTATGAATAGCGACCCTTATTTCGTATTATGAATAGGGACCCTTAGGCCTATGAATTTCGACCCGATTTTGTATTATAGCGAGTACGACCCTCTTCTCATAATTATGATGGCAACCCTCATTTTCGATTATGAATCGGGGTCATTAAATATGAATGATGACCCTTATGAATAATGACCGTTTTCTAAAATTAAGAATCAACAACAATATATCCAAAGAAATCTAAAGAAATCGGGAATACAAATAATAATGTTGATATTAGCAAGCTTGAAGTAAATATCGGAATTAGAAGAAGAACAAATATTAATACGTGCTATTTCTGTTTTTAGAATCCCCACTGTACTACTTGTAGCTAATTGGCCCTCTGGAGAGAAAACAACGCCTAAACGGTGCCCGTTGGTCACCCATGATCCACTTTTTGTTATGTTAATCGAGAGCTGAGTTGATGAGATAGCCACCTGTCAGTGACCACTCTGTGTGGTCTAACCCCCCCCCCCCGGCCAAACTAGTACAGACGGGCTTTAACATCCTGACTAAAATGTCGCAAAGTTTTCCACATTATTTTGCGTGGCAGCCCAAAAGAGGCTGACTGAATTTAGAATGATGCAGTGACATTATTTTGTTTAGATCGAATTTGATAATGGTGCATACCGTGCAGGGGCGGCGATTTCCTTTCACGACCGGGGGGGGGGGCAAAATGCGAGGGACGAGGGAGCATGCAGTGGCGTAATGAGGAAAAACGTTTGGGGGGGGGGGGGCAGAAAAGAACCCGCATCACCATCACTCTTACATGTTACTCAGGTCCTGGCTAAAGTATTTACGATCAGGTAGATCAAGCCGAGCGAAGCAAGTGGACCGTAAGGTCCAGGGGGCAGAGCCCCCGGAAAGTCAGGGAAAATGCCATTTCAGCAACATTTGTAAATCACTGGTATCGAATTAGAAATAAACCACGTTTGAATGATTTTTTTTGAGGGGGGGACTTCCCCAAAGCTCCCCCCCCCCCCCCCATCAATATTGCGAGGGAGCATAGTGAATGAGAGGGACTACCCCTTACGGATTTTTGAAGTTTTGGTTTTATTAAAAAATTACATTTCTTAGCAAAACTATAGTATAAAAACAAGCAATAAACTTTTTTCACACTTCGTTTTGCTCAGTAGGCCTATTTACTTATACATTTAGAAGGTTATTATGCAAGGGAGCGTAGCTTCCGAGTGAAAAGATTTTTGCATTTTTATTTGTCTACACGCTGCACTTTTGGGCCCTCCAGAACCTAAGTTTGTTGCAGTCTTTAGTATTTGCTACCTTTTTCGGGGGCACATTTTCAAATTTTGAGGGGGGAGGGACGATCCCCCTTAAAAAAAAATGAGGGGAGACGTGTCCCCCCCCCAAAAAAAAACGTTCCCCGCCTCCACCCCCCCCCCCACCGCCCAACGCCCCCCCCCCCCCCCCCGCCCCTGATACCGTGCATGAAGCCAGGATTTGTTTACTATTACAGCACTCGACCGATGGTCAACACAAATCCGAAAAATACTCTAACACTGAAGCAAACAAGAAAGGAAAAATTTAGAAACAAAAATATAATAATGACCCTGGATGAGAGACTACGTAACTTGTCCTGTAAAAAAAAATGAATATACTTCGGATACGTTTTTAGAATAATGCTCTTTCGCACCAGTGGGATTCGCATTCGGCGACAATCTCCATGCCTTTTACACTATAATGAATCGCTAGTTTCATAAAGTCGTCATTAAATTGGCACCGTTAAATTGGCCTTTTTCGGATACCAATAATCTACGTGATTCCGGCCAGGATCAACGCACGAAGACTAAGAGCCTAATTTGACATCCCAGACCGACGAGAGAACCAGCTGAATTTTGCCGAAATGGATGCTTTTAAACAACCTAAACCCCGAGTAAATGGATCCATGCTTCCAAAGCACCAAGGTAGCATCGTATGTCTACTGGGCCTTTTGAAAAATGTAAGTTATATTATTCGATTAAATGATATCGTTGTAAAAGAAAGGCATTGGCTTGCACAGTTGTGGTTGTGACTTATAATTACGCAAAAAATTACGTTCGGGACTGAATTATATTATTTGGACTTGGGACTTGGGTATCGCGACGCAACGTCAACGAGACGCCAGGCCCATGGGCATGGCATATCATATGGCATGGGGTCGTTATATGAAACCAACTACATGACAGTCGTATCTCTGTCTGCGGCCTACACAAGTAGAACTTTGACTTACATTTATTTAAGCGCATACGCAGAACGTTCATTCGATCTCAGCGAGTTGCAACCTCATTTTTTTAGTAAATTGGCGCCGACAAGGCGGCAGGCCCTTCTTTCTTTGGCTATCACTGTCTTCCATTCACTCAATGTTATAGATCTAACTCTAAGTAGGGTGTCATTTTTGTTGGATATTGGAATAAAAAATGTAGGGTCTAATCAGAATAATACCTTTCAAATTTCAAGACTCACCAATGTTTCTATCAAAAGATACAGCCCCTCAAAAACTGCAATATTCATAGCATTTTGGTCAGAATGGACAGAAAAGTGGTTCACGCAGAGTTATAATTTCTGCTCAAAAGCTGCACAGCTAATGCACAGCATGCAGCACGATATGCAAAGCGTGGAGCAAGGGTATTTTCAAACTGTTATGCCAAATGATCCCTTGGGACTAGATCTAGAGAAAAAATAAGTGCATGGATACATTCTTTACAGCTGGCCCAACTTATCCCTCGGGGGAGCAGTTCATGAAATTGGTAAATCTCCGAGTTACCATGGAAACAATATTTAAATCGCTGTTTTGAGCAAGATATTTTTACAATTCCGGGGGTAGCCCCCTATGGGGAATATGGAGAAAAACCTGCTCTTTCCTATGACACCACATTTATTGAGTTTCACCTTCAGGATCATTTGTTATAAAGGTTTGAATTTCAAATTTTTCATAAAATCATTGACCAATTTTGCTTGGTCGCGCAATACACGTAGACCACATGCGTGCAATCTCTATGGGAAAGATGTTAGCACACAACATCGGGTGCGCGATCAGACACCCTATTATGAGATAGACATGGCCTGGTGGGAGGAGGAAGCTTGCGATTTTTCGTTTTATCTAATACCAAAATTATGATAGTCTAATTCAGATTTAGACCGAATTTTCCGTCTCTTTCGTTCGTTAGCCTCTTATTGGGGTAGGGTTGGCTCTCTCTTTAGAGACCGAAACAGACTATCCCGCGAAATGTGTAGGGTTATGTGGGCAAATCAGTACACCAAACTTGCAAAACTTATCCCTGAATTACTCCTTTCACAGGATGCATATCCGATGCATTTTATATTGTAAATTAGGTTGAAACTTAACTACTTCGGTTCCACTTACCAACTTGACTGAAATAATCCGTTTAATGGTCCATTTTTAGGAAATTATGGGTCAAAATCGATATCCATGATAAAAATCTTGCAGCGGGCGTTTAAACTCTCGCTGCGCATGACGTCATCTAAATCTCATCCCTTCTAGTCTACGCCGAAGGCAAAATGATTATAACGGAAAACTGTACACGAGCGACGAGTTTGTAATGACATGCACAGTTTTTCCGTTATAATCATTTTGCCTTCGGCGTAGACTAGAAGGGATGAGATTTAGATGACGTCATGCGCAGCGAGAGTTTAAACGCCCGCTGCAAGATTTTTATCATGGATATCGATTTTGACCCATAATTTCCTAAAAATGGACCAGCATTAAACGGATTATTTCAGTCAAGTTGGTAAGTGGAACCGAAGTAGTTAAGTTTCAACCTAATTTACAATATAAAATGCATCGGATATGCATCCTGTGAAAGGAGTAATTCGGGAATTATTTCAGTCAAGTTGGTAAGTGGAACCGAAGTAGTTAAGTTTCAACCTAATTTACAATATAAAATGCATCGGATATGCATCCTGTGAAAGGAGTAATTCGGGAATTATTTCAGTCAAGTTGGTAAGTGGAACCGAAGTAGTTAAGTTTCAACCTAATTTACAATATAAAATGCATCGGATATGCATCCTGTGAAAGGAGTAATTCGGGGATAAGTTTTGCAAGTTTGGTGTACTGATTTGCTCACATAACCCTACACATTTCGCGGGATAGTCTGTTTCGGTCTCTAAAGAGAGAGCCGACCCTACCCCAATAAGAGGCTAACGAACGAAAGAGACGGAAAATTCGGTCTAATTCAGATTCAGTCAAAGCCTTGTCTAGACTAGGCTAGATCGAGAGTAGAGTAGCCTAGTACTAGTAGATCTATGTAGACCTCTACTAGGTCTACTTTATCTAGGTCTAGATAGATCTAGATCTATTCTAGAATCTAGGGGTGCGTTCAATCAAATTTTCGAAGCTAGAATCACAAACATGAATCACAAATCAAAACGCCGTTACAAAAAACAAGGTCACTGCGGTTAGCGTTCAAGCGATTTTTCATCTACGCTGATTCTAGCTCATTTCGAGCCCAGCCACTGCGGATCACACTCGCAGTTTGACCCAGGAAGTATAGGTCAACTTCGGCGCGCGCTTTTTGGAATTGTTTACGGCCGACTGGCGACTGCTGTTTTGAGCATAGCCTTAGATCGCAATAATAAAACAAAGAATGAGAAGGTGATGGAAGGAAGACAAAAAATAACATAAGGAAAGACAGAAAGAGAAAGTGATAGAATGATTGAAACAAAGAATAACATAAGAGAAAGTGATAGAATTATAAAAACAAAGAATAACATAAGAGAAGGTGATAGAAGGAAGGAACAAAGAATAAGGAAAGACAGAAAAAGAAAGTGATAGAATGCTTAAAACAAAGAATTACATTAAAAAAACTGATAGAAGGAAAAAAACAAAGATTAACATAAAAATGGAAGGAAGAAACAAAGAATAACAAAAGAGAAAGTGATAGAATTATAAAAACAAAGAATAACATAAGAAAAGGTGATAGAAGGAAAAAACAAAGAATAACTTAAAGGAAGAAACAAAGAATAACATAATGAAAGACAAAAAGAGAATGTGATACAAGGAAGAAACAAAGAACAACATAAGGAAAGACAGAAAGAGAAAGTGATAGAATGATTAAAACAAAGAATAACATAAGAGAATGTGAGTGAAGGGAAAAAACAAAGATTAACATAAGAATAGAAAGAAGAAACAAAGAATAACAAAAGAGAAAGTGATAGAATTATAAAAAAATAAAGAATAACATAAGAGAAGGTGAAGGAAGGGAAAAAACAAAGAATAACATAAGAATAGACCGAAAGAGAAAAAGAAAGAAGGAAAACAAGATATAACATAACGGAACAGGCCACGGTAAAGAGCATGGTATAGTAAACGCAAATTGCATGAAAAGCAGGCGCGCGGTTTTTGCCCAAACCGGAACAGGCTCCGTCATACAATCATGATTGAGAACTCCGTCCGTTAAATCGAATTTTAGCGACCGTGATTCTGCAGAATCATGATACAAAACGCATCTTTTTCAGCGTTTCATGTTTGTGTTTTCAAACACGTTTAGTTTTACGACCGACTAAAAAATCGCTTGAACGCATTGCGTTTTAAACTAAAACGTCTTTAGAAACCGTGATTCTAGGGTGAAAAAGTGTTGATTAAACGCACCCTAGATCTAGTCTAGCTAGACCTATTTTTATTTGTTATGATTTTTTAAGCATAAGATGTTTGTTGATTTTTCTTTTTTATGTAGGCCTAGACTAGTCTATACAAGTTTTATCAGTTATGTGTGGAGTGCATCACCTGTTTAAAGCATTACGTTTCAAAATCTCTGTGGTGTGACGTAATATTACTTATTGACTTTGCAATTGAACTTAAGTTGTGCTTTAGTTAAGTAGATATCTCTAGATCTAGGCCCTCTCTCACTTAAATTTGAAACCAATCGAGCGGATCGGCCAATGAGAGCGCATAAAATCTCTGTACAGCTCTCAAGTCATAACTACAGTAGCCGAAAGAAGACCCTGATTTTATTTCAAGTTAAGAAAATAATTTTTTTTGAAGATTTTACGATACATAGATTCTAGTTAAAAATTTATTTATCAGACATTTATGTGATATGAATGATTTGTATCAAGGTTAGGCTTGAAAATGGAAAATATCTAGAGAAATACCTATACGGAAATGGTCGTCAATCTCATGTGTCTGTAATTACTAATTACAGACCATTCGATCTTCAGCGACTTTCTTATGGTAGACCAATGTATGTACAAATGTTGGTCTTATTTACTTGTTAATGCATTAAAACCTTATATGAACAGTTTTGATGTTTTATAATGATTTTATATTGACACCAATAACTGACCAGTGAAATGAGAGCTTGAACTTTGAAGATCAAGAAATAAGTTTGAAAATAAAATTTCAGTTTTTATGTTTTCGCTGCCCACCTTAAAGTTTCCTTTAGTCAAATTTGACTAATAGCCATTATAATACCAAACGAACAACAACTTGAAAATGGCAGCTTTGGAGTCGTGACAAGGAGTTGTCGCTGAAGTTGTAGCTCATCTTAGCGAAGACTGTTTTGTGAAATACTTTAATAGCAGACAAGTTGAGCGACAGAGTATATTAAAGTGACTTGGTAACATTGTTGAAGGTTGATGCAAAAATTGCTTAATTTTTGTATAAAATGTTACTTATTATATTCCTTCTACTGTACTAACCCTCTGACATGCAAAAAATCCTGAAAAAATTCTCAAACTACAAAGATATCTATGGTTTTCTTCAAGGAGTTGATGTATGACACCCTCTAACAGTGATTAACAGTAAATTCTCCCAACCATTTTTGAATTTTCCCAACCGTCTTTCAATGAAAAAAAGACATAAAACAGGCTATAAAAAATCTGTCAACACTTAAATGTCTGGAATGGAATGTAGAGCCATTTTATTGCTTTGTGACAATTTCCATTCACCTAAAATGTAAGTAAATTGTAATGATATAGTTGGGAGAATTAAGGAATTTATCAGATCAGTTCTTCCCAATTTGTACCATGAATAATGGTCCGTTTTCACTCAAATTTTCAGATTATCTTTAGTTGTACATCTATCATTGAAGTCACTACCTTAGCACCACTATCTCTCATCTGAACAATGTTACCAAGTCCCTTTAAAGGCTTGTAGATCGACAAATGAGTTTTTAAATAAATTTGCTGCCCATAGATTAACTTAAAGCTGCCTTGAGATTGCATTCTTAAAAGATATGACGGGTTTGGAGTCGTGACAAGTATCTTGTCGCTCATCTTGACAAAGACAGCTTGTGAAACAGTGTTAGATGATGACCCTTATGCAGAATGGCTGACATGCAGTTTAAATTTGTAAATAAAGGGAAACCATTATGGAAAGCAGACCCTAGTCTAGACATTGTTACACTAACACCTTGTTATTATTTGTCCTACCTAGGTGGACCCTAATGGCACGAGCCTAACCCTGACACTGAGTGATGGAGTGGATGCTCAAGTTAATCTTCAAACACCGGTAAGAAAAATACAAAATTAATCCTTGTTATTTAAAAAGTTTTAGTTAGATCTTTTACCAGTACCCTCAAGTCTATAGGATGATTGAATCTGTTTCAGTTAGTAATCTAATCATCAATTAACCTTGACCTAAAGGGGAAGTCCATCCTGATATTAAGTTTTTAGTAGAAGCAGAAAAAATGAGAGAAACGGGTCAGTGTAATTTTGTGCAAATTCCAATTAAAAATATGATAGTTATTAATTTTGTGAAGTTGCAATCGATCAAACACAAAGTGCCACCTCTGTGATGTAATCTGTGAGCTCACCTCTCATGTGCTCTGTACATTTTCTTCGTTATTGAGATAGCAGAAAATATTTTATACATAATAGAGGTCGTATAAAAACAGCAATAATTGTAATTAGGTTGCATGTACACATGTATGATTGAAAATTGTTTCTGAATTATAATAGTACAGAGCATAATTATGGGAGGGGACTCAGGGGAGCTCCCAAGATGTATTACCCTACCTTATGTATTTGACAAAATAAATCTATTGTAATTGTCTTTGGAGCATATGTCAAAGTATCCTATTCCAAGTGGTCAATATTTCAATGTTATATATTGTTTTGTCTCTGTTCGTTTGTAGCTGGATCGTCCTATTGAAGGCTTGGTTGAGGTGGTAGGCCAAGTAGGTGCCAATCCAAGACAGATTAAAGGCTTGAACCTCATCAGTCATGGACAGAAAGATTTTGGTGAGATTTGTAGCATAAAACAAGAATTTACCCTTCATACAAAGTTGATATTTGGTGGAAGGGGAAACAAATTATAGAAGTGAAGTTTTTTTAAACAAATACATGAGGAGAAATCTATTTACTTTTGAATGTCATGATTATTGTAAATAGTTTGTTGACCAAATAATATGGGGGAAAAGTGTTCTATCATTAAATCACAAACTTAAAAAGAAATATTTAAAAGTGAGAAATGTTATTCAATCAGGCTGGCTGTTTCAGTCTTTTTGAGCCTATGTTAGCAGTGATGTTATTAAGGCATGTAAAGGTCATTCAGTGTGACCCAAGTATTCTTATTCATTATTTCTTGTTAAAGTTACACTGCACTACTTGTACATACCTGCCAACCACCCCGATTTAGGCGGAGTTCCTCCGCATTTTTCATAAATTTTAAAATATTTTTAAAACAAACGACTGTTGCATAAGACTAAAGCATAACACAGCACTGATAACCAGATCACGCCGACATCCGCGCTCGCGCTCATAGAAGATATTGCATAGTAACTGCATGCGTATAGCCCACGTGTATTTATATTACATGTGCAGCCAATTGATACACCGTGCATAAACACTGTATATATTGGCGTGTTTTCTTCAATGCTTGTGCGATGACTGTGATCTTGGAAGCTTGTTATTTACCGGACTTCCTCAGATTTATTTTGGATTACTACTACTATATTCTTCTTCTTCGTTGATTTCTCCATTTTTGAAGGACAAAATGGGTAAGACTCAGGCTGTTCATAATCAGAAGTATAAGAAAGAATACGGGAAACAATTTCCAGTTGCAGAATCAGCACTCGGACTTCAACACGCATTTTGCATTGTGTGTTCGGCCGACTTCAGTAACAACCATGGGGGAATGAATGACATTCAGAAACACATGAACTCAAAGAAACATAAAGCTTTCAGCAAAATTAAGGACAAGGCTCGTCCAATTTCAACCTTGTACATCAGCTGGATTGGTTGGTTCCAGTAGCCAGTAATTCTGAATCTTTCTACCTTTGCAAAATAGGGCTCCTAACTGAGGTGGGTAGTGAAACATGTAGTTTTGTGAGTGTTCACATTTTGATATTTCAAAAATTGTTTATGTGTGGGGCGAAAAGGTTGAAGGAAAAGGCCCATTTGCACCATTAAAATGGAGAGAAAAAAAAATAGACCCTAAAGTCCTGTGTACCCCCCCCCCCCCCCCCCCCCCCCCCCCAATCTACAGGCTACTACCCCAATCCTTCGTTGGTTCGCGACCTCGTAGTTCATCCAGAAAAATTTACTCCTAATTTCTCTTGTCTCAGGTTGGCAGGTATGCTTGTAGCTACTTGTGCCCTCTATATAGCAAGCAATGCCTTATCGTTGATGCTGGTCCCCCATGATCCCCTTTTTCTTATGTTAATTGAGAGCTGATTTGATGAGGTAATCACCTGTCAGTGACCACGCTGGGTGGTCTAATCCCTCCTGGCCAAACTCGTGCAGACGGGCTTTAAAACACATAAAATCGTTCTTTCTCACTTCTCTGTAGATATGGAGCTCTACGATGAAGTTTTGAAGATCACTCACGAGTTTCCACAATACTACAGACTTGGAGCTTCTGAGAACTAAACTACTATACAGAAGAACTGAACAATACAAACTGGTTTGATACTTTATGTGGTCCTTGATGAGAAACTGAGAAATTGTTTATTACTGCAACAAACCAGGATCGATGTGCCTTATATACAGAGGTAGTATGTACTTCCAAGTTCCAAGTTCCAAGTTGTGTGAGAAAATGACATCTATTCAAAGTCCAGATGCAGAGGTATCATGACTGCTGATTTTATGAAAGGGGGAAACTGACGGCCCATGAGATCGAAAGCCACAAAAGGTCCATGAGACCGATACTATCAAAAGCTCCACGAGACCAATGGCCCTTAGACAGATTAACGTGACAAAGGTAGAAAATGTTGGCCCTCGTTGTTGGCCCTCGTTGTTGGCCCTCATTGTTGGCCCTAGTAAGAGTTGTCAAGAGACCTATTGGGCCTACATTGTCGGTCTCACTCTCATTGGATGTCGGTCTCATAGGCTTGTGAGCCTTATGTGCTTTATATCATTTCTATCATTAATAATGTATAGAAGTCGGTAAACATATCATATCTACTATATCCACCCGTTACAAAGTGTCCAATCTGGTCCAATCACCTTTAAAATTAGGTGTATAAAGTCCACCTCAAACAACTTAACCTAGTCTTGTATGAGTTAATGTTCAAGAAGTATGGAGAAAATATAGAATAACATAAAATTGATGTACGGAATTGATAAGTTGGACAGAGCAAAACATTTTCTGGTGATTGGTACACTTGAAGGCTTACTGATTTAAACCAAATGGTAATCCTGAAAAGGGGGGATGTTGTTCGGTAACAGCTCTGATTCATGCATTTTATCCCTTGAAATGATACTCCATTTTAAAAGCAACATTTAATTTTCCAATGATTTCCAGAATAATTTTATGGATAGGCAAATAAACATCACTCTTTTTCATTAATGTGTATTTAAAACTCAAATGTTATCAAAGCTTTTAGCATTTTCTTACTGCATAAGTTTTCTATTTGTTTTCATACATGTGGTATGATTCAATAATGGGACAAGCCTATACATTTTTGTAGCTTAGCTTATATATCTGTATACCAGTTGCTATATCACGCATGCTAAAGCAATTTTTTTTTTTTGGGGGGGGGGGGATGTTATAAAAAGATCGAGATAAGAGTTTGAAAAAATGTTTCAATTCCAAATGACATGTATGATGTAAAGTGTAATGAGATATCTTTATTCTGAGGGTGATTAAAAATATTGGAGAAACAATAAAATATCCATGATTCGTTTCGTACATACTACTTTGGACATCTCATTATTTTGTGCTTCTAACTATTAACTTAGAGTGCCATCAAGTTTGCCAATAATTAAATAAATTAAATTTCATTAGGAAAGGTTTTACATGTAATAATACATGTAGTTCTTGCATGAAAACCCATCAGTTATTTTTCTCACTCTTTAGTTTATAATACCGGTACTTTATTATATCCGAAATCCATCTACATGTACACTGTATGGTGTAAATTTAAACAAATTGTTTACATCAATTTTAAAATGATGTAAAATTTAAAGTTTCCATCAAATGATTATCATACACAAGTCAGAGGAGGTTTCAAATTTTTAAGCTTTGTCTGAATACAAATATATAAATATTTAATTTTGGTGTTTTTTATCGTTCTTTTCACAGTAAATTAGAAAAGATTTTGCTTGAATGACAGAAATATACTTACACTAGATATATTTTAATATAGATCTGTGAGTATTACATGTACATCAATAATAGGACACAAGTGAAAGAGAAATACTTCATAAATTTGATGATAATTTTTTCATACTTTTTCCCTCCACAGGGATTTTATTGATTTTCATTTGTAACAAATTAACAAACATATATTCAAGGTAATTCATATTTATAATATGAATACAATTGACTACTCACGATACAAATATTTGTTGAACTGTCTACCGTAGTTAACAGATGACATACATATTTTCAATGATATATTTCTGATATTCATGAACAACAAAAAAAGGAAAAAACAATACAAAAAGACACATATTAGTGTTTGATTCTAATTGGGTTATATAAAATTACTTTGTTGTGACCACTTCTAATGATTTTTTTTTTTTTTAATTTTCAAAAAATTCAGAAAAATATTTTTTCAACAAATTCCTAAATTGAAACCATTTTCCTGTGAATTCATTATTTATACAATTCGAATCTGCAATATACTTTTCACTTTTGAATTAATTTATAATCAAAACTCCAATATTGTCAAAGTCGGGCAATGTTTTCTTTATTTTGCAAGTATACACCATTTGTCCCACCACAATCAGTATACAATTCAACGCATAATTATTTGAACCTCTTAAACCAAATAATTTATCTTGTAGTGAAAACATTATTCTATTTCCGGTTCCAGTATAAATCCAGTGTTCCAACCTATCCCAAATATGTTTAACATGCGTGCAATCACATTGCAGATGTATAACGTTTCACTCTGTTCATTACAAAATGTAAATTCTTTTCTTGGGACGATACAGTAAATTATTATACGTTGCAAACCTTAGACTGAAACCATCGTAAGCCCACATCAACGGTACAATTAAATCCAATGGAACAAGATGTTTCCCAACTCTTGTCATTCAGGTCAAAAATGCATTTCCATTTAATTTGATAATAATGATTTATTTATAGTGCACACATTACATACACTGTAGTACCATGAGATTATCAAATTCATATTTATTGTTAGTAGTGGGGGTGATCACAGTTCCAGAGGCATGTATATTGTAGTCAATGGCACACAATGTATACATATTCTAAATAACAAAAAGCTTCAGAGGTAAGCATATATCCCAGGTGTTCAGGCAGTAGAGTCAAACAAAGAATTTTAAAGTAATATAAAATTCAAATTGGTACTGAGCCCTTATAAAAGGCAGCTGCCGGTTGGTATTCATCTTTTAAAGTGAAAAGGTTACGAAGGAAGGAGATGCTAACCTCTTCGACTTGTACTTATTATTAATTAGAATTATTATTTCTATAATTAAGGAATTTCGGCCCATAAATATCAACATTTCAATTTATTTATTTCTGATATTTATTCAGGATGGCACATGTCACCAATTAGGTGGTCTTCTATTATGAGGCCCTGTTTGATAAGAATAAAACAAATTACAGCAGCGAAACAAAATAGATAAATACACAAGCATATAAAAGGTAAAATACAAATTATTTGGTATCCTCATGAAATAACTGATCATTCAAGAATTATCCTTGATCATTTACAAGAAATATGTGAATGGAATTTTCAATTTAAATAGAAAATACATTAAAACCAAATCAAAATAAGATGAAGAATAGATTAGTAGTATTTAGTATATAGTATTTAAAAGAAAGGAAAACAAATTTAAATGATATTGCAATCATATTTTTCCTTCAAATTCTAAAATATATTACAGTATTTTAAAAGTTATGTATTTCAAACAGACTACATTAATTCAAGCAATATATACAAATGGTGCCTCTTCAAAACTGACAGATGGCATATTGCTTTAAATTTCAGAAATCCACCAATATTTACAATTTTAGATGTTCTTTCTTTTTTCAATCACATTTGAAAATTCACACATCCTGTATAATGATTGCAACACGGGTTTGGTCCAATATATGTGTAGGCTATTGCCCATAAAGTTGGAAATATAACACCATGGCAACTATTTCGAAAAAAGAACACTCAAGGGCAATCAATATTCATACCCTATGAATGTCCCGTAGAAAATCATGTTTTAATTACAAATTCCGTCACCGTCATGTTCGCACATTTCAATAACTGACGTGCAAGGCCTTTGAAATTGCTGTAATGTATTTTTTCTTATTACATATTTCTGAATAAATTATGACCGCCGCATTTGCACAAAGACTATATGTACATGTACAGTCAAACCTGTCTAGAGCGACCGCCCAAGGGAAACACAAAAGTGACCTTTGTAGAGAAGGTGGTCTTTATAGACAGGTTCCTTTAGTACATAATAATAATAATATGTCTTGTTTACCCAGGGTACATGATCATTCAATGAGAAACCATTTCCAAGAGAAACAACAAATGTGGCCTTTGTAGACAGGTGTTCTCTGTAGACAGGTGGTCACTAAAGCAGGTTTGACTGTATTTATCCATGGGTTGTTCTACACTCGCTCCTAATCTTTTACACCAACCGAGCTTCTAACATAACAAAACACGAGGGCAATGTTAGAGGAGGCGCGATAGCTTTGTGGTCTCGTAATCCGGCGACCCGTTTCAAAACCAAGTCGATGCGCTAGTGCCCTTTGGTAAGGCATTTAATCCTCATTACCAGGTCCCTCGGAGAGGACCTAAAGCCGTCGGTTCTCCAGTTGCTTACTAATAAGCATTTATGCTTTCTTAGCAGTTAGGTAAAAAAAAATAACAACCACCACTACCACCACATCAGCTCTGGAATCATCATTATAACAATAACCCTAATAGTAATGCTAACCGAAGACCTGACCTATTAAGCTCATGATTGCAACCCTAAAACACTATCCATTTAGGCAACTTTTGACGAAATAAAGCCTGCAGCAATAATTGTCGCAGGAGCAAATTTAGGAGCACCATTGTCGTTTTCTCCACAATGTACAGGAGAGATGGTGTCATCATTTTAAACTACAATATCCAAATTCAGTTTTAATTTTCATAAAGCTAAACTGGAGTCAATTCACGTCTAGCCAAATGCTATCAGGAAAGGCATAAAGAACGTGAAAGAGAGAGATTTGTGAAGTTGATAAACTGAAAGACATAGACGAGCTATTTTGAAATACAGACAGGGAAAGAAAGCGCTGGATAGAGAGGAGATGGACATAAAGGATAATAAATAAAGTGATAGAATTATTAGTTGGGGCTCTACGACAAATAAACTTTCGTTTTATTTTATTCCCACCTCGTGAAATAGCGCAACCAAAATATATATTTGTGTAAGTCTACCCTTTAAAGTCATAATACATGTATATTCAAAAGCTTTTCACTTGAAGCCTCAGAGGGGGCGCTCCAGGGGGCAGCACGAGTGAGTACTGTTTCAAGTACCCCAACAAGTGTCCCTTTTTACATAGGAAATTGCCCCCTTAAACTTTGTAGGAAGTGCCCCTTTTATTTTGTAAATGGGCCCCTTCCCCTTTTCACCTCTGATAAGTGCCCCCTTTCATTTTGATACGTGCCTATTTTCCTATGCAGCAAGTGTCCATTTTCCATTCTTATAAGTCCCTTTTCAGTTAAAAGAAGTGCCCCTTTTTACTTAATATGATAAGTGCCCATTTTAAATCTGGAAGATGCCCCTTTTACTTTGACAAGTGCCCCCTTCCTCTTTTGATAACTACCCCTTTTTAACTCGGATAAGTGCACCCTTTATTTTCACATATGCCCCTTTTCCTTTCTAATAAGTGCCCCCATTAAAAAAAAAACTTTTCACCTATGAAAAGTGTCCCTTTTTATTCTAATAAGTGCCCCTTTTCACCTCTTGTAAATGACTCTATTCAGGTACGAGAAGTTACTCCTTGTCATTTCAGATAGTGCCCTTTCACCTCCGGTAATTGCCCCTATTCAAATCAAAGAGATGCTCGTTTTACTTTGACAAGTGCCCCTTCACCTCTTTATAAGTGCTCTTTTCATATCTGATAAGTGAGTGCCCCTTTTCATCTTTAAGTAATAACTTCCCCCTTTTATATTGACACGTGCTCCTTGTCCTTCTTATAAATGCCCCTTTTCATCTCTGATAATTGCCCCGTTTATTTTAACATGTGACTATTGTTCCTTGTAATAAGAGCCATTTCCCCCCTCTCAAAATAGCCCCCTTTCATCTCCGACAAATGACCCTATTAAAATTTGATCAGTGTCCCTTTTCTTTCAACAATTTCCCTGTATTATAAGTGCCCCTTTTTCATTCTCATAAGTGCCCATTTTCTTATCTGGTCAGTGCCCCTTTTCACCTCTGATAATCTCTTATAACAATGATACATGCCCCTTTTCCTTTCTAATAAGGGACCTATCCTTTTTTCATAAATGCCCCCATTAAAATCTGATTGGGTGCCCCTCTTTCCTTTTTGAGAATGTGCTTCAAACCCCATCAGGATTAGGTTTTTTCCTCTTTATAAGATGTAATATTTCGCTCTGCGACCTTACAAATCTTAACATATTACCACGCTCGCTTCGCTTGCTCGCAAATGAATATCCAGACCATCACACCCAACTGCAAAGTATGATGCTTAAGCAATATCTAGTTGTAGGATGTATAAAGAGAACAAAATATTGAAATCGTCCCTGATAATGTAGTCACATTGTAGAGGTATATTTTCGCTTAGAACCACTACTACTACTACTTTGAGATTTCCCTTTGTAAGTGCCCTTTTTTCAAGAAAGTGACCTTGTTTTGTTGGTGCCCCCTTACTTTGGAATTCGCTCCGCCGCCATTGTGAAGCCTATACATGTTTCAGTATCTGTAATGTAAGCCCGAAGGCAGGGGCGGCCGAGCGACTTTCAAAGTGGGGGGGGGGGGGACCAACAAAAAAGGGTACTTTCTGGAAAAAAGGGCACCTACAGTGGGAAATCTCAAAGCGAAAATATACAATTTTTAGACATTGGTATATACCCCTATATTGTGATTACATTATCAGGGATGATTTCAATATTTGTTTCTCTTCATACATCATACAAGATATTGCTTAAGCATCAAAATTTACAGTCGGGTGTGATGTCTGAATATGCATTTACGAGCGAGCGAAGCGAGCGAGAAATTTTTTAAAGATCTGTGAGGTCGCAGTGCGAAAAATTACATCTTATAAAGAGGAAAAAATCCAATCGTGATGGGGTTATAAGCACATTCTCATAACGGAAGACTGAAAAGACCTTTGATAAGTAACATAATTATATAATCTTTAAATGCGAGCGAGCGCAGCGAGCGAACTTTGGGGGAAACTGCTCTTAGTGGCTTTAAATAAGGGGCACGTTTAATGATTACATGAAAAGGGGACAATTATCGAAAGGGATAAGACACTTATTAGAAAAGAAAAGGAGCACTTGTATAAGTACAAAGGATAATTATAAGAGGTGAAAATGAGGCATTTTTTCACTTGAAAAGAGGCACTCACCAGTGATGAAAAGGAGGCGTTTACGAAAATGGGAAATAGGCATTTGTTGACGGAAAAGGGGCACCCATCATATTTTAATAGGGTCATTTATAAGAGGTGAAAAGGGGATAGGTCCCTTATTAGAAAGGAAAAGGGGCACGTATCATTATTAAAAGGGGAATTATCAGAGTTGCAAAGGGGCACTTATGAAAATGTAAAAGGGGCACTTATAATAAAGGAAAATGTGCATTTGTTGAATAAAAGGGGGCACCGTTCAGATGTTTAAAAGGGGCAGTTATGAGAAGGGGAAGGGGAAGTTATGAGAAGGGGAAGGAGCTCTCTCTCTTTTTAATCGGGGCACTTATCATAAGGAAAAGGGCACTTATTAGAAAGGGAAAGGGGAAGTTATGAGAAGGGGAAGGAGCTCTCTCTTTTTAATGGGGGCACTTTTCATAAGGAAAAGGGGCACATATTAGAAAATGAGAGGGGCACATGTTAAAATGAAAGGTGCGCTCATTCGAGTTTAAAAAAGGGGTAGTTATTAAAAGGAGAAGGGGCACTTCTCGTACCTGAAAAGAGGCACTTACTAGAGATTAAAAAGGGCACTTATTCAAGATAATTTCAAGATTCATGAGAATGGAAAATGAACATTTATTGCAAAGGAAAATGGGGACATGTCGAAGGAAAAGGGGCACGTGTCAAAATAAAAAGGGCACTCGTCAGAGGTGAAAAGGGGAAAGGGGCACTTTTACTAAGTAATAGGGGCACTTGTCAAAGTAAAAGGGGCACCTTTCCTATGTAAAAGGGGCACTTCTTACAAAATAAAAGGGGCACTTTTCCTATGTAAAAAGGGGCATTTTGGGGGTATCTGAAAAAGTGGGGGCACTGTGCCCCCCTGCCCCTTCGGGAGGGCCGCCTCTGCCCGAAGGACACAATGTTAAATTTTCGAAGAGTAATGCGAATCCGCTGCGACCGCCGGACGGCGACCGCGGTATGGAAAACCTACATAATCATAACCAGGTTATTTCAAAGGAATTCCTTACAATTTTATTGTCACTACCAAAAATAACATTGTCCCAAAGTGAAGTTGTACTTTTCGTAAGCTTTGTCATTATTGGTGTTTTCAGGCCTTTTTTTGTATTCGGGAGAGCTGCATCCGATCTTGTTTCACTCCAAATCATTGATTGATTGATTCTGTCGCCCACAGGCCCGACATCACATTTGCCATCATGGAATGTCCTCATTTGTTTTTAGGTATTTTGTCCCAAGTTTTATCACGTCGGTTTGAAATGTGACTTTAGTCGATGGGAGTGTGCACCAGCCATCCGCTGGACACAGAAATCAGAAATCGAAACAGCTCCTGCACATCCAACAACGTCATGCTCTTCAACGTCACTGCAAGATACTTTCATTAGTCGCAGGAGACGTCTGCTGAGCCGGATGCACCCGGTTATTTCGTACCGTCGCTGTACCGGTCACCGAAGCCAACAGGTCTACTTTCTTCGCGCGACAGAAAAGTAGTCTGATGAAATGCATGTAACCGCGTCGAAACTGCTGATTGGTGGCGCCATAAATGACGCAGTTGAAGCTGCTGTTGGTATGGGCAAGGGTATAGGAGAGAATATAAAGCTTGCGGTCGTAAACCACACGGTGGTCAATGAGCACGGTCAATGAGTAGGGCGTCCACATGGCAAGGTAGATGATGACGATGACCAGTACAGAGCGAGCCAGGCGCAAATCAGCCGGTCGAGCGGCTCGTCCGGGCTTTCTCTTATCGTTTTTGTTCTGGACGCCATTATTTTCGCGCATGCGGTCGAGAGCGATAGCGGCATTTCGAGCAAAGCGGAAAATGCCGATATAGCTGAAGGTAATGATCATAAGAGGGATAGCGAAGGCGGTCATGGCGAAGAAAATAGCGTAGGAGTACACGAAGGACATCCCTCCTGTGCAAGACATCACCTACAAAGAGAAGAATAAAGTTAGCGTTTGATTCCTAAATACATTATAGGACCCCCCCCCCCCCCCACAACAAAACCACACTGTTTCCACGGTTGCTTTTTAACTGCTTCCATAATGTCCACACTTTTAAGGGGACACTTTTTTTCTTTTCTTTTTTGGTCTCGAAATTTGAAAATTTGACATTTTGATCTGTTGGGGAGGGGGTAAGGTCACCTTTTTTAGGTCAGCCATTGGCATAATTAAAAAAGAAAAAAAAGAAAAAAACTCAAAAGGGGGGGGGGGGGGGTTCACAAAAAACTTACATATAAAAAAAACTCAAGGGGGGTTAACCCACCCCCCCCCCCCCCCGCGTACGCGCCGGAGTGGGTTACAATATCTGAAATATGTGCTTACTGTTTTCATACTGTCTTCAAACTTTTCCACACTGTCTTTACAACTATCTTGATACTTTATTTACTCTGTTTTCATGTTTTCCACTTCCCCACTGTCTTCACACCATGTTCTTACTTTTACTACATGCCTACAGTGTTCACACTGTTTCCAAGTTCAAGTTCATTTGTGTTCATACTTTGTCCACAATTGTTTCCACTCCAAGAACGAAAAACGAAAGCATTACCTTCCAGTCAAATGTGTGTGTCCCCCATCCCAAGATGTTCGGGAGATCGATGAGGAACCCGATGAACCACAGACCCGCGATCATCATCGGCACGGTTCGCCGGTTGAAGATCTTTCTGTACCGCTGCCAGTGACAGATCCATACGTAGCGGTTAAAGGCAATGGCAGCAATACTCCACAGTGAGCAAGAGCATCTAAACAAAAGAACACATTTGTAAGGAGATATATTAGGAAATTTGTATTTAAAACGATAGCAAAGAAATTAAAGAAATCAACGTAAGACAATAACAGTTGATTGATCCTCATCTATTGAAACATGACATTATGAAAGCAAAATACAATGTCGTTTGTAAATTATGTCATAAAATATTTCATAACAATATTCCTGTTAATACAATCATGACTATATGCACAAGTAATAAGTACATCTATCGAAAAGCTCAATAGAATTACGGCAGTGATGTCAATGTTCACTTAAACGTTATAATGCTCTTTGTTGGACAGAATGCATAATGAATCCGGAAAAAAATCTAAAGCATTGAACAAGATTAAAAAAATGAAGAAAAGTATAGAAAGGGAAGAATTGACAAGGAATTCACATGCAGAGTGAAAAGGACAGTTCAAAGTACTGCACCACTTAATAATCAGATTAAATTCATTGTGGGAAATAGAATGATTTTCGAAGACTTCCGATAATGACAATAAAAATGTTCTGTTATTCCCAGTAATCTCATGATCCGATCCTCTTAATAATCTGTTCTTATTGAATACGAGAGAGAAGTTCAAGAGACCTTAATAATCAGACTCTCTTAATAATCTGTTTTTATTGATTACGAGAAAGAAGTTAGAGACCTTTCGATATAAATAGTAAGAGGGGGGCGTTTTATATAACTTTTCTTCTTTCTTCAGTTACAAGTAACTGATCAGACCACTTCTCATTGTTCAATAGTGGGAGGGAATCAAACTGTAAACATGAAAAGTGCCCCCCCCCCCCCCTCTTTCGGAAACCTGTTAATACCATCGCAAGTGGTTTTGTTTTCTTATTAATTGGCCTCGATCGGGTCTTGATAAGCTATAAGATGAGATCCATTACGGGAAAGGAATTCTGTTTTCGTTTACATGTCGGAGATAAATTTTGAATTCACAGAGAGCTAAAACTTCATAATAATTGTATAATATTGGGTAAGCCTGAATCCTATGACCGGGGTAATAATAATATCTGTAAAGCTCTTTGAGAGGGCCTTCGGTCCTGAAAAGCGCTATATAAGAACTAGCTATTCTTCTTCTTATTATTATTAATAGTTATCTTCGATAATAAAGTACATTATTTCATATCTAACGGAGATGTCTGCATCATCCTGTGGCGTTCACTTTTTCTGTATCCGCCATGCACTGAGCGGCTTTCGAGATTGAATAGACTAGTTTCACACTTCGCGAACCAGGCTGTACGTTACACACCTCACTAGATATCCACGTGTGATTTGGTTCACTACAGAGTCCGGCAATTAATCTTATGCTTTTCTCCATTTCTCATGAGCAAAATTGACCAAGCAAAAGGAGAGGCGGATGTGATGTTTACGCTGAATTTATTTCCCTGACACAACATGTAATTGTTTGTGAAAGTGGTGGGATGTGGAAATGATAGAAAGCGTGTCTATATGGATAATGGATTACCTTTCTGCACTTGCCATGCATGTTTCGGCAACTATCCAGTCTTGTGCCCAATAATGTAGATATAATGCCTAACCTCTGCCCCTGTTTATATGGTAATTTGATCGATCTTTTTGCGCTTGTCATGACTTTGTTTCAGCGATTTTTCAGTCGAATATCCAATGATGTTGATGATGTTGATGATGTTAAACTTATGCACCTTATGGGGGCAGCCAGTAGCAAAACGGACCAACTATTATACTCTTGGACACTGTTACACGAAATTGACTAAGAGGGATGGCCAATGTAATCATCCCCCCCCCCCCCATTCCTCGCCCCCCCCCCCTCTCTCTCTCTCTCTCTCTCACTTTGCACCCAGCTTGCAGACACAGACTCTAATTTGTCACTTTACAATTATTCTTAAATCCTTGGGCGTTGTGCCTGTAAAGTACTATACACCATCCCCCACCCCCCCCCCCCCCACTGCACCCGCCACTGCGAGTGAATGCTTACGTGACGATACAGACGACGGCGATGACTTCGCATAGCCACTCGTACTTGAGAAAAATACCCTCTTCACTGGTTATGCTCCCGGCAACGGAGGCGAGATTGACAACGACGGATACACCGAGATCAGCCAAGGCGAGGTTCACGATGAATAGATTGCCTGAGATCGAAACATAACAAGAATTCGTTTTAAGACAGTTGAAAATCATCGTAAATACATACATCCAGTATATAATAATAATGCGTAAAAAGAAGAAGAGCTAGAGGAGAAACGGAAATGATAATCTTTTGTAAAGCGATTGCACACTTTTTTCTCTTTTTTGTTGTTGGTTGTCGTTGATGATTTATGGAACTTGATTCGATTTGTAAGACCTAACATTACAGCCAAGACGTTGATACAAATATGACATTTACTCAGTGGCGGCCCTCCCGGGAGCAGGGGGGCACAGTGCCCCCTACTCTTTCAAGCACCCGCAAAGTTCCCCTTTTTACATAGGAAAAGTGCCCCTTTTACTTTGACAAGTGCCCCTATTAATTTGTAAAAGTGCCCCTTCCGCTTTTCAACTCTGATAAGTGCCCCTTTTATTTGGACACGTGCCCATTTTCCTTCGACAAGTTCACATTTTCCTATGCAATAAGTGTACATTTTCCATTCTCATAAGTGCCCTTTTTAATCTCTAGTAAGTGGCCCTATTAGGTACGAGAAGTGCCTCTTTTCACTTTTGATAAGTGCCCCCTTCACCTCTGACAATTGTCCTATTTAAATCTGAGAGGTACGTGCCTCTTTTACTTTGACAAATGCCCCTTTTACTTTGTAAGAAGTGCCCCTTCCCATTTTAATAACTACCCCCATTTTAACTCGGATAAGCGCACCTTATATTTTCACATGTGCCCTTTTCCCTCTCTAATAAGTGCCCCTTTTCCTAATGATAAGTTCCCCATTAAAAAATAGCCCCTTCCCCTTCTCATAAGTGCCCCTTCTCTGGTAAATGACCCTTTTCAGGTTCGAGAAGTTACTCCTTTTCTCTTCAGATAGGTGCCCCCTTCAACTCCGCTAAATGCCCCTTTAAAATCTGACCGGTGCCCATTTTCTTTTAACTAATGCATATTTTCCTTTATTACAAGTGCCCCTTTGTCATTCATATAAGTATCCCTTTTCATATCTGGTCATTGCCTTTTTTCAAATGCGATAAGTGCCTCTTGTGCCTCTGATTATTTCCCTTTTAACAATAATATCTTATAAAGTCCCCTATCAAAATATGATGGGGGCCCCTTTTCCGTCGACAAATACCCGTTTCCTGTTCTCATGACTGATTTTTTCATCCCTGGTGAGTGCCTCTTTTTGAGGGTGTAAGAAGTGCCCCATTTTAACCTCTGATAAGTGGTCCCTTTTTCCTTTCATAATTAAACGCGCCCTACCTAATTTCAAGCGACTAAGAGCAATTTCCTCCAAAGCTCGCTCGCAACGCTCGCACAGATTTATAGAAGATATACTTATGTTACTTAGCATAGGTCTTTTCAGCCATCCGTTATGAGAATGTGCTAATAACCGTATTAGAATTGGGGTTTTTTTTTTTCTTCTTTTTAAGATGTAATTTTTTGCACTGCGACTTCACATATGTTAAAATTTTTCCTCGCTCGCTTCGCTCGCTCGCAAGTAATTTTTAAGACAATCAAACTCAATTGCAAAGCATGATGCTTGAGTATTATCTTGTATGGTGTATAAAATGAAACAATATTGAATTCACCCCCTGATAATTGTAATCACAATGTAGGGGTATGTACCAATGTCTAAATTTTCGCTTTGAGATTTCCCTTTGTAGGTGCCCTTCTTTTCTCCAGAAAGTGCCCTTTTTCTTGGTGCCCCCCCCCCCCCACTTTGGAAGTCGCTCGGCCGCCCCTGCATTTACTGTATCCGGAACCTGGTTTTTTGTTATTTGTTACGGCATTGTGAATAAATAGTCATCAAAGCTATGTTCATTTTAATTTGTAAAATCAATGTAAGTGTTCAATTAAAACCAGACCAAGCGTACACAGCCGTACGCGATTGTATTTTCCTACTACATTATAGAAAAATTCAGGAAAAGTTGGTCTTCGTTAACTCTCCCCAAAAAATGGAATTATTCTGACAAAATTTAAACTGGGCAATACTCTTCTCCCCGTGGTTTAGTATTATTAGTGGGTTTTCTTTTATTTGGTATTCATGTATGTATTGAAAGCTAAAAATAGAAACATAAAACACAAGGATAACAAATATAATAATTGTGTGTGTGTGTGTGTGCGTGTGTGTGTGTGTGAAAAACCAAAAAACGGCATAAAACACTCCATCCGGCAGGCGGAGGGCGATGAGTTTTCCAAAAAAAACAAAAAACACACACAAAAGAAACAGGTTAGTGTCACACTCTTCTTCAGTGGCTAGATGTGACAGATGTTTAAAAATTAAATCCGTTTCTGATGCAGACACATATATATACAATGGTTAAAGTCCAGTTACATGTAACATCGTGAATGGAATAGTAAGTTATCATTCTTTTGTGCAATTTCTAACTCAATATTCGTTACCTTCAATTTTTCAAAAAAAGCTTGTCAGTTTAGATCGGATTTCAGGAATTTGCATCGAATCACATAAAATGTGAATCACAAGAATTCCAAAAAATTATTCATTTGTCATGGCAACTGCCTGTGTCAATTCCAATTACATAGTTAAAGTCTGAATGAACATTGGAATGCCTTATACTTTCATCTATGGCATCAATAAGGTTGTTCCAAACAGGTTTTACCTTCTCAAAATCACAAAATAAATATATTCAATGTCTCTTGTTGTTTTTTTAACGTACAAAGTGGCGAAATCAGTTCACTTATTTGAAGACAAATTAATTCAAAACAAAAACATGAATTTTTTTTTAATAAAATGACTCCAATAGTGTACCTACTCCTAGTCTCTATAGTGCATCTTAAATCAAGCCTACGTATTGTTGACCATACAACACTGAATGGGTGAATGAAAAGAATGAAGCTCATGTAGTAGGTTAACGTCACATCATTTTCATTTTATGTTGCAAAAATACTGAAAATTTATATTTTAAATAAGTGAATTCATTTGAAGAATAAAACATTTCAGAGAGGTTCACAGCCGTACGCGCGTGTACATTGAAACATCCATCACTTGTGTAAATTATAGAATCTTTTAGGAAAAGTTGTTCTTCTAAAGTATTTGTTAATTCTCCAAAGAAAAATGCAATTATTCTGACATTTTAACTAACTAATAACGCAGTTGGAAACGAATCAGATATAGAGCTACATTTCTAAATTCCTGATGAAGCGTGATATCACCAGCGATCTCTCAACTATTCGCTGACTGTAGGAAATGGCCTTGAAGGGTATACAGCCATTTGATCTCCAGGAAATACAATGTTAAAGTGTAAAGTTAATTTGATCAGGGACGATTTGACCGAGGCCCAATAATTTGCAGTATGCAATGTACGTTCTATGGAGGCTCACGGATAATAAAGGAAACAAAGAAGAGCACTTTACATGCATATTAAAATGAATGTATGTCCTGTTGCAATTTTGAGCAAAAATTTTTCAAGAGAAAATTCATGATGCATGCCTATAAGTGCATTGCTTTTTAATATATCTGCAGTAGATCTGTAAAGGGGAACCCTAAATGATAAGTAGATATTCTGTAAAAACGTGATGAATTCCTGCCTTTCAATGTACAATAAATCTTACAAACGTGGACATATATATATATATATATATATATATATAATATATATATATATATATATGAAGATTTCTTGGCTTGATGCCTTTTAGCATGATATGGGCGCAGCCATTTTCTTGAAAATGTGACGCCCCCGTTGGAGATGTACATGTAGCATGCACCAAGCTTTAATTGGAAAGACTTTTTAATTCAATAACAAAAACTTTACTTTTCAATGTGGGAAAATCATAGCCGAGAAGGAAAAAATTACATTTGGTGAAAAATATATAATAAGGTAACATTATTGTAACTCATTTATTTGAAAATAGTAAATTATAGCGGTTGAAAAATCTATTTCATTTATGCGAAACCTTCGCCCAAGAACAGCAGCAAATTATTTATGCAATTCGCGTCCTGGCAATTGGAATACAAAAGATAATAGGGGATAATAGCAGGTAAATGAAAACACCACAAACACCTGGGAAGGAAGCATCCATTAATGTGAATACAGTTGATACATGACTCCGCATATACATGTAGTACGTCATGCAATCAAGAAAATGGCGATGCCCATGTCCTGCTTAAAACGTACTTTATTCTTGCTCTATGCCTTTCTCATACACTTTGGTGGTGAAACTTGTAGATTGTTTGGCAAGAATGCAATAGATCTCTCAGAACAACCAAAGATATTCTGTGGGGTTAGTTGTCCTTTAACTTCTTTGTATACGCAGGAGTAACTTGTGGAAAATGAGATTTCGACATTTAAATCTGCTTATTAAATTGTGGGCGTTTATCTATTATAGCTGATACATGAACTTGAAAGCAAACGGTATACCGTAGACTATTTACGTTCCGATTATGAATGTTTACTTTAAATTTGTTATTTGCAATACAAATTTAGGGATCTTTTTCATAAAATGTGTCTGTTGAGAGCGGGAAGGAAGTCAAGGGTTTGTTACATGATAAGAGTGTATACCGGCCCTTCTGACTCTGAACCAGGGGCGGATCCAGGATTTCTTAGGGGTGGGGGCCCAAAATTTGAAATCAATTTGAAATTTAGTCTGCTGAAATATAAAAATCGTGCCTGCCGGCCAATATTTTGCTCATTAGGGGGAGGGGGGGGGGGGGGGGTAGTGAGCACTATTTTAATTTTTTGTGTTTTTTTTTGTTCCCCCCCCCCCCCCCCCCCCCCGGATCCGCCACTGCTCTGAACAGACATTATTATCACAGGGTATATATACTATGTATACATACTTCAGGGTTCATTGTATTAACTTAAGAGACAGCAACAAATAAACCTCGGGTACGTAATGTAAATAATTGTATATAATGTAAATAATATAGGCTAAAATTCATTACATACCTAAGTCTTGACCTAAGAACTATATAAATATATTTTTCCTTTATGTTTATGGTCTTTATAAGTTTAGCAGTATGAAATTACATAATCAATT